GCTGGGGAGCTGCATGCTGGCTGCTCCACAGGGCGCAGAAACCTGTGTGGGTTTAGGGTTGGCTTGCTGATCTGAAAGGTCTTTTCCAGCCTAAATGATTCTATGACTCTGTGATTCTATGGCTGGTAGTTGCAGCTGGTTATTCAGTAAGCCCAGCACCTCTCCTTGGGTTTTAAGAAACATGGGAAAGTAACAGGAAAGGCCCCACTGTGGTCCCAGTGAAGCTTGGGTCAGTTGGCTTGTTGAATTTAAAAATCCTGTGTTCAGCCTTTTATTTTGTCTGTTTAGTGCAATAGGGTCATGGGCAACTTTTTGGAGCATATGGAAAACTGGCATTTAGTTTGGATTCCCAATGAAATCTAAACATTAGCTGATGCCAGTGGTATCATTCAGTGTCAAGGAGACCGAAGGAAGGAGATGGGGAAGGAATGGGTTTGTCCAAACAACCGGGAAACCCTTTTTATTTCAGATTTACTTGAATTGGCAGTGTTGGTGAATGAGCTTCAGTGTCGATTCATGCCCTGAAAATGCTTGTGAGTGCTGCAGATCACAGGGAGCATGACAGGGGAGACCGCTGTATGGGGCAAACCCTCTTCTGCTGCTGTGTTAGCGAGGAGCAGGAGGAGCAGGAGGTGAGTGCCAAGCTGTGCTCTCCTCTGCTCTGGGTGTCTCTGTGCATGTTGGTGCTGATGGTTGAAAGAAAATACTGTATTTAATACTGAACCAGGAATAGCCCTGAAAACTTTCAAAGGCAAATGTGCAAAGGCCGTGTGCTGAACCTGAGAAGCCAGGTTTGTCTTTATTCCTCTGATTTACCAAAATCCGGTTCCTGTTCCCACATCTAGTGAAGGACTGAAAGGGGATGCAGGGACAGAACCTGGTTGCCTCATTTGCCTCCCATGCAGCCCTCTCAGTAGCCACAAATTCATCCTGTGAAAGGAAAGCCCCAGCTGATGCGGAGGTGATGCCACCACCACTTATCCAGCTCCTTCCCTAGAGGAGAGAGGAGCAGGGCAAGGGCAGGGCAGCACCGTGCTCCAGCAGCTGAGTCAATGGAGGCCCCTCAGGCACTGTTTTTGGACCGTGTGGAGGTGCTCACATGGCGTGAGCCCTGGCCAGCTCTGGCTTCGGTTGGGAGAACATAAACACAAAGCAAAACCCTTTTTGCCTCTCCCTTGTGAGCTGGGAAGTAGCTCAGGTGCGGGTGGGAATGTGTAAATCCGAGTTGTCAAAGAAACCTGAATGACCTTCCAGTAAATCAGTGAAACCGGGAAGGTTTTGGGAAAGAAGGATGGCTGGTGGGGCTTGGCCGTGTGCCGTGGGGAGCCAGCCAGCTCTGCCATCCATGCTGGCACGCAACAAGCCTGCTTCCACTTGTTGCCAATATCCGAAAAACAAGTGGTGGGGCCAGCCAGCATCAAAAGCCACTCCATTTCCTCCTCCACTTATTTAATTATTAAAGACGAATAAGAACCAGCTCGTACATAAAGAGCAACAAAGAAAAACAAAATACTTAAGAACTGGCAGCCAGGCGCAGCAATAAGTCATGGCACCAGCCTCTGAAACGTCCCTGGTTGTATAAATAGGATCCTCCA